ATTGAAATCTCTGTAACAAAATTTTTCATTACAAAGAATAATACTATCAGGGCTAAATTCTGCAAACATATATGATTTTTACTTTACTGCTGTTGTTTTAGCTATTGAACTGTCCTTTACTTCTTCACTTTTCTGTAATATTATTCTTGGTATAATATCAGAAAATGGATTGTTCAGTATTATAGTTTTTATCAATCTTGGAGAATAAAGTGATGTATCATTCTACAAAACAGAGGAAATATTATATTTATATCAATTCTAGATATATTTTCTTGTAAATATTAAATTTACCTCATATACAAGTGTTTTTTCAATTTTAAGCATATTATACATAGTTTCTCCAACAACTTTACCAAAGATTGTATGTTTATTCTGCAAATCTGGTGCAGAATTAAGAGTAAAGAAGAATTGTGGAACCATTGTCATTTTTCCCAGCATTAGCCATAGCAATTAAATCTCGTCGACAAAAACGTAATCTTGTATGAAATTCCTCCTAAAACACATATATCCAATAATTATTTTTAAATAAAAAAGGAATTCATTTTATTTTTAAATATGGTCTCACTTTAAATGGGTCTCCATATATTTTACCACTTTCTCCTGTACCTGTGAGATCACCATCTTGAGTTATGAATCTTTTGATAATTCCATGAAATATAGTGTCATCCTAATAATCTTTCATATATAATTGTATGAAATTTCTACATACCTTTGGAATTTCTTTTACCCATAATTCAAACTCAATATTACCAACAGCTGTCTCCATTATAACCTAGTTATAACAAATATAATAGTTTTATTAATGTAAAATACTTTTAAAATCAAATTTATTAAAATTCATTAATTATTATTGTAATTCAAATTAGAAATTATTTAATATATTAATGTAGAAATTTAGAAGGTAAATATTGCATATCGGTTAAATTTTTAAAAGCAGATATACAATTCATTGAAATATTATTAACTAATAATTATTACCTTACCCTTAATGGCTGGCTTTTGCATATAAATATTATTAATGTTTGTAAGTCTTCTGTAATAAAAAAAATTCTTCGTCAATAATATTTCATATTAAATCTTTAGGAATTTACAAATCAGTCAACCAAATGGTTCTTCTCTCAAATAAAAATAAGCAGGTAAGACATACCTTTTACCTCCACTTGACGTTGGCTTTCTTGGTCCAATCAATTCCATGTGCCATAGCCCCATTATTCCAGCTGCTGTTATAGGTTCTAATATTTCTACACATTTGTGCCTTAATGAAACATTTACACTCTATATTCAATTTATTTGTAACTTTTAAAATCTATTACCAAGTGTCCATTCTCCAACAGTGATCCTTATATTTGCATGTCCATGAAACACATCCTTCTCTGATGATACATATGCCAGCCCTTTCCGCTTTCTAGATTTGACATGATTTGCATTTTCTCCTCTCACTGCTTTCATTTGAACCTCTCTCATCTCTTTATATACCTCAGCTCCATCATTCTGAAATTTAACACATTAGCGATATTCACTGATTTTGACCACTGATATTAATATTAATTCAGATCAGGAATACAACATACCTTTCAATCTCACTGTATTCTCTACACCTAGCTGTTACAAAAGGCCATCACATAATGAAATTTCATTCTGTTTTGTCAGCCCAAGCCAACTCCATTTCCTGAATC